CATTGGCATCATTCATTGTGTCTTATTTGTTGTTTCATTCATTATTTTGTTTATTGGGGAATGAAGGATACGAAAAAGAGGGGAATGAGGTACGGTGATTTGAGTTGGGAGATTAACGCAGTTGCAGATGCGATGTGAGTTGGGGATATATGTCAAGTGATCTTACTTTTTATAATATGATCAGTGGCATTCGGATTTGCAAGCATTCATTCGAAATTCATTGAATTCACACAATTCGCATTCTTATTCCGCTTGTTTCCATCGCTCTCATCACTTTTCTACACGAAAAATATACTGTCGACGCGTTTTCTCAATCTCTTCTTCTCAGCATTCAAAATCAAACTGTCATTCTCCAACAAACACTCTTCGAATAACATCGACGATCAATCATCAGTCACATAGAAGGTTGCATATCTCTTGACATATCCACGAAATGACCCCAAAACTTTCAGAATCGATTCGGCGAGGATCTCGGATCGGACCTCTGGAAATATTTCAGCAATGTGGCATCCGAAAAGTGTGATATGGATGTGGAACTTTTTGCACAGAAAATTCTATCACTGATTGGTGTGTGGAAGATTTGATTTTGATTGTTGTTATCATTCTCTTTCATTTCTCACCTTGGGAATGACCTTCAAAAAAACAGACTCAATCTTCATCTAGTCCACAAAAGATGCAAAGTCCCCAGAAATGAGGTATTGAACTGGGATTGCAAATTCATCTTCAGATGGTACATCGGACTGCTACATAGAAGTATTATCGACAGCCGATCAGATAATTCGACTGTGTGCAAATAATGCCGGGATTTTTGATTTGGATGCACAGTTCATGGATATTATCACGGAGGATATGGTTGGTCATATTCATTCGGGACTATTATTGCTGTTATTACTATATGCACTACTTTGATCTGAATTAATTATGATTCATTTGCATTTTAGAGCCGCGAAATTATAGTAGATCAAATTTAGAATTAAGCATAAATTTACTGTGTAATTAAATTATGAGACTGTGGTAAGATGTTGTCATTAGAATGTATGAATGAAATCGAAGGTGAAAAGAGGCACGTCGTGTGAATCGCTGATTGCGTGGAAGAACGAGAATTGTGCGAGGATGTGTAGTGCACTGCAGATGCACGTCTTGAGGCAGCTCAATCTGATCACTCACCTGGTCGGTCGATTCATTCTCATGCATTGCTTACATCACGACTTCTATCTTACTTTCAGCCACCTCCACCAGATTACACCTTTTCACATATATTATCGCCTTTGCAAATGTGGTTCATTCAGTGCTCACTTCCGGATATTTATTTCAATCATTCCAAAACGGTAACTGTATTCACGCTGTATTCAATTCTTCACTCGAAAATAAATTCATAAAATTTTTATTTTTATTTTCAACTTCATTATTGAAATACCCAAATAAGAACAAAAACGATCTGTATTACTGTTCATTTCTAGCAACAACACGAAGTTTCATCTGACAGTGAGCAATGTTGGACTTCATTATACTCAAGTTCGGAGCATGGCATCAGTGTCACGAGGCAATTTATTAACCTATTTGATTATTGTTTATCAGTGATTCATTGTGATCAGTATTTTCATTTTCGAGTGGAATTTCAGATTCGAAACGAATGTGTTTGATTATCGTGGTCCAACAGTGTCGATATTCCATCTGCAAGATGGTCAGATCTTTGTTTTAGCAGTCGATCAAGAATGGAGGTTATTATTGGTATTTGACTGCTCGTGGGCTTGACTCTTGATGTAAATTTCAGACACAGTGGATCAAAATTCGGTTCAGTTGATAGTGTTCTCATAGAACTGCAACCGAAATTCAAGAGGATTCAGAAAGGTTCATCAGTATATTGCAATTTGAAACTGAGGAATTATCCGATGAAATTATCGTTCGATGCAAATGAAATGAGTATTGACAAGGAGATGAGTGAAGTGATCGCTGTCGAGGTATTTATTGCTTTCTCATTGTCATTTTTGCTGTTGTTAATGTTTTAATCTGACTCTAATTCAGGTGTTTGGATGTAGTTCTGAGAAAACACTGCAAGAGCAACACAAACAAAAAGACTGGCAACGAAAACAAGTGGAAAAAAATAAAAAGGTAGTGTTTGTTGTTATATTTTTGTGTTTATTGCAGTCATTATTATTAAGGTACCTCTTCCTGGGAGATGGGACGACAATCCAGATAAGTTTATACTCGAGCTGGGTGGTGTTTATTCGACCGCTGATAGACGCGAAGTTTTTAGAAGAGACGATTGATTTTGAACAGTAATTATCACAATGTGAATAATGCAATTTTATCATTGTGTTCGTTTTCATCAAAAGTGCGATTTCACATTTGGGTTTCGTTTTTAAAATGCACAATATGGTTGTTGATACCACTTCACATGTCACTTATATTATGTGCGACGTTGTCAAACGCAATATCTCGCTTTGTATTTTTATTCCACTTATTTCATTCACCATCAAAATATGCAAAATGAATAAATATTTATCACATAAAAATATTGACAATAACATGTAATAATACCTATCATCTCAAAATAAATCAGTGGTACTACCTGGCAGTTTATACAATGGGAACACATAAATATTTTTCGAACAAAGGTTGATGGGTTTAGATGCATGGGATAATAGAATCGGGGTTCGATCCTGCACGTGATCGAAATTGTTCTCAGGGGTTGAGTCAGAACCATCAACGATTGAACCTACTGGGATATAGAAACGACTACAGTAATACAAGCTCATTTATATTAAGCACGGTGTTCTCACGAAAGGCACATTCGAATGTGATCTTCATTTGTGCTTGAATACTACTTCAATTCGCTTGAATGTTCATAAACTCAATCGTACGAAAAGCGATTTGAATTTGAGATAAGGAAAGTAGCGATCGTATGCTAATCAGCACGGAGTATCGCATGAAGGGCAGTGTGACACAGCCGAGAGAATACGGTGCAGCTCTACAATAAATAAATGTTTATCATAACGAGTGATTATGATCAGCTATTGTGATCATAACAAACCAAATAGAATGCACATTCGGAAAGCGCTATTAAGGTTTTATATGATACCACCCTCATAAAGTACTGCTCTGAATAAAAGCATTCGTTGAGCAGTTGTGTCGAGTTGCAGCAGTGGTCAATGAAACATGTTCATCTTCACATCGAATCACCTTCAAGTTCGTTCATTAATAAGCGAGTGGAACGAGTTGAGTGACTAACTACTACCTGTTTATGAGGTACAGATTGCATTTGCACGTTTCGATTATAAATCACGAATGACTTGGACAAGTCACAAATCGCTTGATCTATCTCATGATCAATCGAAGTGAGGGTATGTCTGCGTTGACGTCTCAACAGCGATGAGCCCACTACCATCTTATCGTCCAGCTCATTCGTCGGATCACAATTCAATACATCACTTCTTGGGATAAACACCGGCGCTGATTTCCTGAATACGTCTCTTTTACATCGAATCATTAAGCACTCGGCAGATGAGCACAAGTGAAGAATAACGAACTTGGCCAGCACAAAGTTCATGTTAATACGTTCCATATAGCAGTGTTTTGAGAATGCCCTCAGCGAGGTAATGCGATAAGTGATATTGAAGTTGAGAATGCTCGAGATGAACGACATCAGGTCTGAGGACCAGTGGGATGGCAATGCTATACAACCCTCACTCATCAAACACAGCACCTTGAATTCGAATTATCGACTTACTTGTTATCGATGTGATAAGCAATGTATCTACCTGTTGAGAAGACAAATGGGCAGCATATTCGAATGGCCTTCGCCCAGAGAGCATTTCATAAAAACAAACACCTAACGAGAACCAATCGACTCGGTGGTCGTAACCCGCGATTTCATCTAACGAAGCCAGCAGCACTTCGGGTGCCATATACGGACGAGTTCCTTCAGAATTGATCACTTTACTGGTTGACTATGATCGCATAGATATGATAAGGAAGACAAACCCGTGAAAGAGGTAGCGAGTGTGTCAGGAGGCAGTCTTATAGCCAGATTGAAGTCAGTCAGGTGAGCATGACCAGAGTTATCGAGAAGGATATTGTCGGGTTTGACATCACGATGTACGATTGATTCATGATGCAAATAATCTATTGCTAGTGCTATCTCACATATGTACAACTTGGCACTGAAAAGCACTCTATAGCATAACTCACTGCTGACGGATAAAAGCAATTAGACAACATGAACTACTCACCGATCCTCAGAGAATCTACCCTGTTGGTTCAAATGATATCGCAAATCGCCACCTAATAACAGATCACTCACCATATACATATAATGCGTATCCTAAAAACTGAGTAGTTCATCATACAAAATAATAATAACAGAGATAAATAATAAACGACCTGAAAAGAGAACCAGAGATTAACGATGAAGGGATGCGATAAATGCGCGAGTAAATCAAGTTCGTGGAGAACATGATTGACAGCCATGCGTTGTACACAACGACGTTTGCTGATGTATTTCAGTGCATAATGCTTCTTGGTGCTCTTGTACTGCACTATGCACACCTGAATTGATATGACTTTATATGATCTCTAATGACAACATTAGACAAGTAAGGCTCTACTCTGCCAAAAGTGCCTCTTCCGATGGAGCGAATCAGTGTGAAATCGTGGAGTTGTGGATGCGTAGGACTAGGCACTCTCCGCGAACATCGACCGCCCATATACAGCTCCACCCAGAAGCTTAACTCCATACAACAGTCGCCATCGACGCTGAATTCTTATGGATATATCCACATTCAGCACGAGATTTGTATAACAAGCGAAGAAAATGACCAAGATTAGTTCAGATAATTGTAGTGATATTCACCTGAACTGTTATCAGACATAGAATCAATGTAGGAAAGAATAAGCTCAGCTTACATCGTGCCAAATCGGCAGTGTGCGACTTTGGTGCTGAGGTTGTTGTTGGGATACGATTCGAGTGGATTTATGAGACACGTTACGATCACAAGTACTGCTAGCTCTCATTCACTCCTTCAAATTCCAGACATTATCTCAAATTTCATCGAGAATGTTGCACGGTTAATGTTTCCAAACTTCGGAGCAATGTGAATGTTAAAATAATCATAACGATACCGACTCATTGAAGGATGCTGCACTCGAAGTGCTCACTCCAGCGTCAGCACGGACTGATAACCAAAATTATTGACACGAATTCGGGATATGAGTTATATTCAACTGTTGTTTTCGTGATCTGATAAGTGATTATTACATCATACATTGACTATAAATCAATACAGTATAGTAGAGTTGAGTTGGTACCTGCTGATTAATTAATCGCTATATCGTTTCATCACACGTGATAAGACAACTCAGTTGCATTGATAAGCAATTCTCACTTCTTCATTTCTATTTGCTTTGATCTCTGAAAGCACTGATCTGATCTGTTGAATTCAATCCTTATCGTTTATGTTATCGATGTATACTTATGTCGTTCAGGTGAGCAAAATCATAGGATGAAGTGATATTTTCGCTTATTACATTTGTTTACGAGTAAGGATTCGAAACAATCACAATACATATTTTTAATGAGTCTTTTTACAGAATGAATTCATTTCATTTGAGAAGGTAAGTGGAATCTTTTCAGAGGCATATAATGTGAAGTGTTCGATGCTTTCACTTGTTCGGCGATGATGAATGCATGAGACATACTTTAGGGATATTTATGTCAGTCATAATAAATAAATAACTGTTCTCGTCACATATCTTTGTGCAGATTGATTGCTGGCAAAGCAATATCGTTGAATTGATTGATAACGGAAAGATATGAATGCTGCATTCAGTTGTATGCAATTCAATGGAATACTTCACAACAATTTTCAATTCAAAATACTGCATTTAATGAGCAATTAGCGAGAAGTAAAGTGAATATTGACAGTGTAATATTGGAATGTCGGAAAACATAATAGAAAATGAAATGAATGAAAACGAAAAATGGAATGCGATAGAGATTAAAAACAATATTTAATTTGACTGAAAAACGATAATGAAATCAGTGCTCGAGGTGAAATGAATATAAATAAATATGGACTGAGGAATGATGCGAATGTGCAAATACGGATTTTTGAGAAATTAGAATATTGCTGGTATTATTCTGATGGTAATGAAAAGAAGTTGAGGTGTATAAAAGATTTTAGATTTTTGGAATTGAGGGAAAATGTTCGGAAAGTGTTGTTTGTTTGTGACGATAAAGGTGTGTAATAACGAAAACATCATATATAGTTTAGCCTAGGCTCGATCACAGTCTTATTCACCTGAAAGTTGAAAAGATTCTGGAAAAGTGATCAGGAATGAATCAAAATCGGGTGGCTGACGGGTGACAGGCAGTAGGAATGATAACGATCATAACAAGTAATGAATATGGACGACGAGAAGCATTAGCGTAAGGCTTAGTATTGCTAATAGTCAGTCTAATAGCCATCTAAAGCAGAGGAATAATCGATGCATAAGAGTATAGTTTGTTATAAGCTTAGTGCCAGTGAAATCGCATGTGAACATAATATATGCAGCATGTAGCCATCCATCTTTCATCCAACTCTTCTATGACACCAAGCTTAGAACACGCATTTGCTTTGCAGATATTCTTTAGCGACAACGTTGCCATTTAGCTGTGCACTGCACACTAGAATATATGAAGAGCAAATATGTAAAAAATGATTGGCAAGCATAGAAATGAGCATATCAGCTACTACCTCAAAAACCACGCATTCTTTCTGTCCAAGCAATGCGAAAAACCCGAACGAATTTCACAATGTACAAGTGCGTCATCCACGCTCTGAACACAGATATTCAATCGAAATGAAGCTAATAAGCATTCAACGACTCCAATCTATGCATTAATTTCATTCACCGTAATATATTCTCATCGAATAGATGACCTCTTTAGAGATGATATCAAAACATACGTTTATGATCGTTGTTGGTCAAATATACTAATGGATATATCTGAAAACAGTACTTGAATGATAAAAACACTTAGTACTCAAATGAAATGCGGAACTAGCTCGAAGTGAAGAANTCACCGTAATATATTCTCATCGAATAGATGACCTCTTTAGAGATGATATCAAAACATACGTTTATGATCGTTTCTGATCAAATACTAATGTTAATGGATATATCTGAAAACAGTACTTGAATGATAAAAACACTTAGTACTCAAATGAAATGCGGAACTAGCTCGAAGTGAAGAACTGAGAACGGAAGAGGACATAGAGAGAAAAGTATGAATATAGAATTATGTATATCTATGGATATAGACAGATAGATTGCGATGCTGCAGCAGCAGCATAACTTCGTAGGAATACACTGCAGCAGCACATTTAGAGGAGACTCATTGAGTTCGGCTTGGATTTGAAGAAGAGATGGATTTGCAGTTGTTTGAGTGAGAATGTGCGATGACAATAGCGAGTGCTTGAATGCACATAGGTTGGCTGGCTTTTCTTGTATTAAGAAACTAGTTTATGGCCACTGAGTGTGCACATGGCCTGGAAATGCTAATTACGATATTCTCATTGAAGAGCATTATGGAGATCAATTGTAAAAAGTTGAAAGAATTCGATGAGATTCATTCGAAAAATTGGCTGATTGCGTATTTTTTTGATTGCACAAAATCGCTTGATTGGATGTTGTGAATGAAATGTTCTGGTCAAGGGCAAACCTAAAGGTATAAGTAGCTTGAAAACGGCTCTCTGATATTCTCTCAGTAGTGCGTCAAATGAAGTCGCTCAGCTGAATGAGATTCGCACAGAAATATGGCTATGACCATTACCCATCAAGAGAACATTTATTTTTTCGAGAATTTGCTCCATCCGATAATGTGTATAAACCATATGTGCAAAGCGAACTCGAAAATAAAAGTGCACTCCTGATACTTACTTAATCTCTTAATACTCCATCAAATGAGCTTACTCAGCGGGATAAGCTTCCTTCAGAAATTTGGCTCTGTGAGAGGAAGCATCACCCTTAGCAACATCTATTTGATCAGCAGTATACAGAGCACCGACCCATCACAATATTCAAGGAACCCTGGCTCTCACGTTTGCCAATCAATATGTGTGTATTTTGATGGCGTTGAATCGAGAAAAATCTGTTTCTAAAATTATACGTTATACCTGAAGGAATATGCGCTGTTCTCATATATCGTTAATTTTCTGAAGGTATTTCACTTAAAATACCCAAAACTACGTTTTGGGTATTTTGAGCGACACATCGAAAAAAATGTATACGTAAAACTGTATGCAGAATATCAGAAGATTCACCAAAACCATAATTTTAGTGAAGTTCAATGCCAATCCGCTCCTAAATTCAATGTGTATCTCTTCAAAAGCACGCAATCAAAAAAGTACACTTCAGATGTGCTTTATTATTTTTATTGAATAATCACCGTTTTCACGCACAACATCAAAGTTTAAATGACAATTGGCTAATCATATAAACATTCTTCCGAACGAACAACTGCACAATATCACTGCGACGCCAATAAATAACTCATTCTCAAACGAAAAATACAAATAAGATACCACAATTATGAGTAAACAAATTAATGAAAAATGAAGTAAAACATCAGCCAAAGCTTATGGCTAATCGCTATTACAGGCATAACCGAAAATCTCTATGCATAAAAAATTATGAAAGGCTCGCAGTTCGATACCCACACTGCAGTAAAGAGTGATCTTGAGAATGTATTTTCAAATGACTACTGCATCATGTAATAGTATCAGTGACCATAAGCATAATTACAACAAATACGATTACAATAAGCTTCAATTATTCACTTTACTCTGATCGAGATGTATGTGCACAACGGGTGCCGAAGGCTGTGATGACTGCTTCGGGACGGT